AGAGGCACTGCCTAAGGAAGGCCTGGTGATCAATCTCCTTCTGAAAAACCCGCTATTCAGAACCCTGAGAACTCTGAGTTGGCATCACCCGTGGGGCAGCTTGTTTACTTGCACTCATCAGAGAAGAAGACGTCTTACCTTAGTAGGAAAGTCATTTATGTCAGAAGAGAAATGATGAGGCCAGCTTACCCATCAAGTAAGGCTTCCCCATGATCAGAGTTAAGAACCTGCCCCTCAACAAAGGTACAAATGTGCTCGACACAATGGATGGATGGATTGTGATAAGTTTTATGAGCCCCTGATAAAATGACTTAAAAAAAAGAAAAAAGAACCTGCCCCTTCGTTTCTCAGGTGGTTGTGCCAAGCCCCAATTTCTCCTCCCACCTGAACTGATTTTGCCCTGGTCTTGTTCCAGGAAACTGGGCAGGGTGGGGTAGGTGGTTGGGGCCAGGGTGGGGAGGGGAATGGTGCTCTCAGGGTAGACAGAAATTAAAGAAAAACTGCTTCCCCCTCATCTTTCTAGAAAGTTCACCAATTAGACAGTCATTCAACTGAATACCTTCTTTTTAAAAACACGCATGCAGAATTTGATGGAGGGAGGAAAGGAGTGACGAAGGGGGCAGGAAGTCCAAGTTCTAGTGAGGTAAATGCAAATGGTGTCCACAGTCTAACGGAGACCAGCGCTCTGGACTTTGTCAATTTGGTTTGTGACCGAAAAAAAAAAGAGACATTTTCATCCACAAGGAGTTAGAATCGAGGAAATAGCTACATTTCTTAAGACTCACTGGAAAGTTTGTCTGTGGACCAGGGCCTGCATCTCCCAGGAAACTCCCATTTACCTATTGGAACTTTCTCAGTGTTGCCTGGTCTAACTGCACATCACCCTACCCAGCCTCAAGGAGGTTGGGCTGAGGTATATTTGAGCAACACCAGCTCTTTCTCTTTCTAATTTGTATGTGGCTTTACATTTAGGGGTTTTCTTATTCACTCACGTCCCATCCCATTTTACAAAGAGGTATCTATGGTAACAGCTTCCTGAGCTGAAAACCAGGACATGGAATCTGACAAAATACCCATGTTCTCATGACAACAATGATGGGACAGCTTCTCTGAAACCTGGCCTGCCCCAAGGCTGTATGCTTATCAAGTTAAGTGCTTGGGGTTCAAAAGGTCTCTAACAAGGACCTGGCAAATTTCTTCTAGGACTCAATAAAGTGAGTAGATTATAGTCAGGGTCTATTCCTAAGAAGCTCAGTGCAGAACATTCCCTGCTGAGAGGGGAAAAGAGGCTTCAAGAAGGTGAGATTGTGTTTCTGTTGCTATTGCTCCCTCCCTCCCCTGACTAGCAGCTTTTGTTGCCCTGGGCCCTATTTTAAAAAGTAATTGTTTATTTTATTGGTTGTTGCAATTGGGAATATACATGGCAAAACAGATCCCAACTCAACATTTTCCACACGTACAATTCAGTGATACTGATGACCCGTTTGAGTTGTATAACTAGCCTTGCACTACTTGTCTCAGCTGATCCTCATTAACATCAGTTCACTGCCCCACCAGGCCATTCTAACTTGCTCTGGTTGTCTTATTTTTCCGTTTATCTGTTAGGATGCCCCTCTCCCTCCTGAAGTTCAGGCACTGAACCCTGGGCCTTGTAGGGGTGTGCAGCCCTGTGAATGCTGTATGCCGGGAGGTGCGCAGGAACAGGAAGTCATAGGAGCAGTGCTTGTCAGCACCACAGCTTACAAGAAAGAGGGTGTTTAAAATTTTGAGCATGGTTTCAACAGAAGAAAACTTGGAGGAAAAAGAAATATAGATGGAATTGATGGGAGTGTTTGAAGAACTAAGTGAAATTCTTAGCTGATTAGAAATATTTCACTTAGGAAAATGTCTCAAAGGCCGACACTTTGATTTTCTTAATGATTTTATACCTAACACTTTTGGATGAGTTAAAAACTATGCTTTTAAGACTTTACTGCAGCTGACACTTGAAACTGAAAATAAATTTTGAGGTGGAGAGTAGAGAAGCATGGGGAAACAAGGTGGAAAGACTTGGGTCTCGGGGACTGGGCCCTTGGGAGGGACTGTGGAAGTGAGGGGATGGTGATCCAAACTGGAAGGTCCCTAAATGCCGAGTCTGTTGACTTCCTACAGATCAAGCCCTGCGAGCCACCTTATTTCTGAGCAGGAAACACCAACACCATCACACCGCCATCCAGTTGATGCTAATTCACATCAACTTTATAGGACACGGTAGACCAGGCCCAGTGAGTGTCGGAGACTGTAACTCTTCACAGGGGTAGAAAGCTCTGCCCGGGAGCTGCTGGTAGTTTGGAACTGCTGACCTTGCATTTAGCAGACTGTTTTCTTTTTATTTGTCTTCTCAGATACAAAGCTAAACAGGGTGAGGTCATATAAGAAAGCCTTTACTCTAATTTCCATAATTTTAAACAGAAATGGATCTTTAAAGAAACATTGTGCAGACTTTTCTTTGCGAGGTCTGACAGAGGATCCCAAACTCCTCTGTCAATATTGACTTCAACTCACCGATCTGAATATTCGGGATTGAGTCTTTCTGTTGGTTACAGAGAGGGCTGATTTCCAGTTCAAATTTCTGCTCCAGATCACCTAAGAGAAGGAAGATGAAGCATATTAATAATCCAGAATGAATACAAGTGTTGATCGCTTTTAATGGCCTACTTGGGAGAAGTTATTTTGGGAATTGCTGTTCCTACCTTGTTCTCATTAGGATCCCTTTAGCACCATCACATGCAGCTGGCGTCTGTGAAATTTTAAGGCATTCGAGAGCCATTGATCACGGACAGCAAGTTCACTGTAATTAGGTGTGCCCTGGGACTAACTTTTGAACAAGAGCTATAAAAAGTATGTCAGAGCTCACAGGACAATTTCCTAGCATGAAATGGAAGCGCTGGCTTTGAGCAACAGGCTAAGAATACAGATGTTACGCTAAGCATTCAAGCTCCACCTACAAACCACCAGGAACATCACAGGTAGGGAGTGGGAGAGAGGAAAGGGAATGCTCTCATTTGGACAGCCACTCAGTCCGTAGCTTTACTCTTAAGGATAAATAGGGTTCTAGTTTCCTTCATTCGGATCCCTTAGAATTTCACCTGAGGGGAAGTTTAAGACAGTACAAAGTCTGAAACGATACTTCTTTTCTGTGCCCGAGTCAGCTTGAAGACCACAGGAAGAATTCATCTCGTCAGATAAACCCCGGCTTTGTTTAAAACACTCTGTCCTTCAGAGGGTGAAACGTCGTGAGTAAGGTTAATCAGCAGAAAAGCTGGGCCTGGGAAACGAGTTCTGTTCACAGTTGTGAATGCACTTTCCCCAACTAGAAGGACATGAAAACATAATACTGACACAGTCACTGTATGCATTATATGCATATGTACTCGGCAACAATAATAACCCCAACTTTACAGATTAAAAATTGACCCACAGGAAGTGTAAGTCTGTCACCCAAGGTCTCCTTGTTAGTCAAGAGCCAAGCCTCGGTTCTACCCTAGGAAGTTTAGCTCCAGTGTCTGCCCTTCACGCCTGGGTAGAATCCTGCAGAGCCTGTATTCCTGCGGTTGTCTCTAAAACTAGCCAAGCTTCCCAGGAACTGTGCCTTGGTGATTACTGAGACTGATGTGCGGAAATCATTTTATCTTAAGCCTGAGGAGTTCAGAGGTGTCTCCTCACACTTGCCCTTCAACCCAGGAAGGTCACAGCCTTCTGAGGGCAGGGCATGGCACCATTCCATACGAAAATGAATTCTCCCACCACCAGCGCCTTTCCTCCTGTCCCTACTTCTGTGAAGGGTGACATTGATGGAGTGGGCTTTGATTTCTCCCTCCTTATTGGGGCACCAAATCCTGTTTATTCCTCTTTTGGGGATACTCTGCCTGGCTCTCATCTGTTTTTGTTTTTTTTTTAAACCAACTTCTTCTTAGTTTTTGTTACTTAGCGAGTCTTGTGCACATTAGTTGCACAAGGAAGCTTCAAGAAATTCACGAGAGAATTTGATGATCTATCCTTTAACTGCATTTTTCCCAGGGACTTTTTTTTACCCCCTGGTATATGTTGTCCTTAATCCACTTTCTATGATGAAATCCCCACTGTTAGGTTTCTTGATTTAGCCTCACACGCAGGGGCCTCCATAAACCCGCCACGTCATTCAAACCTTCTATGGAACGGAGCTGGTCTAATGGGCAGGGAGATGACCCTGCCTCGGTGCCTTTGTCACACACGTCTATTCCCCTCTGTTTCAACCAGTGCTATATCCGACAGCACTTTCTGCAACAAAAGAAATGTTCTCTGCCTTGTTCAATGTGGTAGCCCCTGGGATAGGACTTCTCCAAACCAGGAACTAAGATTTCAATTGAACTTAAATAGAAATGGCCACTTGTGCCTTGTGGCTACCATACCAGCAAGTGCAGAACACACTAGACATCTACCAAAACCCATCTACCAAAACCCAGTGATTTTCTCAGCCACTAACTCTTCTCCTGTGACTTATACCAACAGTGTGACACTGACTTCCATGCTTCCATGTGATGTCTGCTTTGTCCTGTTGTTTCTCATGTGATCACATAGTCATTCAATCACGCCATGAATATTTACAAAGCACTTGCTATGTTGTGGACACTTTGTGGATCAATGTAGAGGAGGATAAGAAGAAAACGGAATAGTCTCTCCCTTCAAGGAGCTTGGCTGACAATTATTTTGCTGGGACAAAAGAGGGATAACTAGACTTCTTTGGATCCCCCATAACACCCCCAATGAGCTTTGTGCACAGGAGAAACATCACAATTTTGCCAAAGGTTAACCATAACCAGAAGTAGTGTTCCACAGAAACTTGACTGAGTAAGCGCAAATGTGAAGGTAATCAGACAGGAATTGTACTTCCCGAAGGAGTTGGGGAGGGCATGGTGTTGGGAATCCTAATCTGAGCTCTGAGAATATTCCAGTTTTTCTCCTTTGTGGCATTTTATAGGCCTCGCCTCCCCCTCCTGCCTTGACCTTGATTTCAGGAGTTTCCCTTTGTTTAACATCACGAATCACAGTGAAGGCACTTGACGGGAACTGTTTGCAGTCTGTGGACGCCTGCCTGGAAGGAGGAGGCCGGAATGAGCTGGGCTTTGAGCCCAAATCCTAAACTGAAAGCCAGATGAAATTAATCAAAATGACACAAGTCATCCTTACAGAATTCTTAAAAAACAAATTCAGTGTCGAGGGCAGGGAGCTGAAAGACCAGAGAGTCTCCACGTGCTAACCAGGCAGACTTGGGCGAGGACACAAGATGGTTAAATGAAAAAGGACCAATGTGCCCTACTTATTGATCGGCCTGTCTCTGCCAGGAGACGTGGCCGAGGACAAGGTGCATGGAACCTGATATTCAGCGGTCAGGTTACAAATGTTCTAGGCTCTTTCATTTTACAGTACTCCCTCCACACGCACACCTTATTAGGACAACGTTCAGATGTTGCAAAGAAACCTTGCAGGATCACCTATCTCGGCTAATCCCATTTCAGAGGGGTTTCCTATCTCGCGAACAACTTTTGCTTCACCAACTCAATAAGCGCGGGCACCCAAGTGACCTTTTCCCTGCCTCAAATTGCTTATAATCCAACTAAGGTGTGAGGCGAGTGAATGGAAATGTTACGCTCACTCCGTGCAAACAGAAGCACATGACTGAGTCAGAAGGGAGCAGGGATTGCAAAGATGGAGAGCGGACCATTTCTCCCTGGGTGAGGTCGATGTTTGTATATTATGCAGTAGAGGAAGTCCTTATCGTATTTAATCTGACACCTCCGGGTTCCAATCTCATCAGGTTTCCTTTTGTTTTACCCTCCCCGGTGGAGCTTGAATGTCCTGGGTAACTAGAACGGATCCTTTGACCTCTAACCCCTCACACTCAGTTCAAGTGAAAATACAGGAGCTACATGAGTACTTCCATCTGGAGGCCAGAAGAGCCTCTGGCTCCCCACAGACCCCAATCAGTTCCTCTTTGTCTCTGTCTTTGGGGCCATCACATGCCCTTGATGCATCTTTCACAGGAGGCTTCTCCCAAAGGTGCATGGCTGCTATTTATCCTCTCCACCGAGCTGGGACATGGAACGCTAGTGCCTAATTTGGGCTCAGCCTCTCAAGCCTGATCCTGTCACGAGCATCAGGGCCTTCAGGAGCCAGAGGCTGGGGTGCCAGCCACCCTCGGGTCCTCCCTGCTCCTTGACTTCCTTCTTTCTGCATGAGTTCCATCTTTCAGCACTGAGGCCCTCTTGGGGGCTACTTGTTTATGCATAGTGGAATTCTTTCCTCTCCCTTCTTATTGACACGGTTTGAAAGGTTGACCGTGCTTTCGGGGTTAGCGGTGTTCTGCTTCCTTAGTAGCTTTACTTAAGAAAATGACGGCAAAGAAAGGAGTCTTAAGTTTTCCCGACAGAAGATTAAAAAAAAAAAAAAAAGGACCACCAAATGGCATTTAGCCTTTGGGCTGCACTCAGCTCATTAAAATGAAGGTCAGAGTAAATCCAATCTGCCCCTCACATTCTCATATCTGCAAAGGACAGTGATTAACACAGATCTCTCTCTCTCTTTCTCTGTATGTTCCATTCTCTTTTTGGTCGTTTTTATTGCAACTCATTACTGCTATTTCTGTAGTAAGTGGAAATTATATATATATATATATATATATATTTTTTTTTTTTCTGTCATAGGTCGGGATAGTTGGCAGGAGAATCAAAGAGGAAGGTTAGGGATCGTAAGATACGGGGAGCCGGTGACAGGGCAAATGCCACGACAGATGTGCTGTTTCTTGTGTGAGCAGAGAGAGCCTGCCTGACAGCGAAGGGGCAGTGAGCACAGCGGCCGGGCCTCACAAACCTTGTCTGTAGAATTCTTCACACACCCGTTCACTCCACTGCTTGCTCATCTCCCAGATCCTGCAAGGATTGCAGATGTCAGCACACTTCAGGGCGATCTGAGAAACGACAGCGCAGGAAAACACGGTCAGAGGCTGCTCCCGCTGCGGCAGACGCGCCTCAAACCCCAGAGGCTGAGACACCAGCAGGCCTGTGGGTACCCTCTGTCTCTTGGCACCAGTGCCAATCAATTGCTGTCGAGCTCCCCCTGACTTTTGGTCGCCCCGTTTGTGCCAGAGGGTGTAACTGTGCTCCTTAGGGCTGACTTTCGGAAGGAGATCACCAGGCCTTGCTTCCTAGGCACTTCTGAGAGGGCTGAAACCTCCCAGGCGTTGGCCAGCAGCTTAGCATGTTGACAATTTATACCACCCAGGGACTGCCTGTCCCATGGGGTGAGCCCATCTTTACTGAGGGTCTCCCTGATGTGCCGTTGCAGGAAATGGCACTTATTCAGCAGGACACAAAACCCCGATTCACAACTCCCAACCAGTGAGCAGGGGAGGCAGGCCACAGGCCAGAAGCACACAGCCTCCTGGATGAGATTTGAAGTGGGCAGGCCAAGGAAAGCCAGGCCCTGGCTCCTCTTGCTGCCCTACTCCTCACAGGCTGGGCGGTCACAGGCATCTGAGCCAGGCTCAGGTGAGATCATCGGACCTCACACTCATCTTGCTGACCGCCTCCCTACGTCCCTTAAGTGCTTCTATTTGCCTTGCCATGCCTGTGTCTCTGTGGAAGCAAGCAGACTGCCATCCTGGGAGCGAAGGCACTTCAAATGTACGTGTGTTTTGTTTGCAGAGCTAAAGCGGCGTCTTGCTAACTTACCTCCTAACCCCGCTCTGGACTTGGAATATCAGATGTGGTCAGTGATTGTCCCTCGTGACCATCTGAGAGACCTGGAGGAGCTCTTGGTGGTGTATGCTGCCCACCCGTGAGACCTGCTTGCTTGGACCCTGTTTCTTGGGAGTTCAGAACCTCGGGCAGGGATGGGATCTGAGGGAGCTGTGACAACATTAAGTTAGAAACTTGTTTAGTTTCTGGTTAATTGGGTGGGGAGGGGGGTGAGAGTGCGGGTCGGGGGGAGGACCGGTTTGTGTCAATAGCGGTAAGGGGAGGAGGTCCCCCTCCAGGTTCTGTCTGTTGGGAATTCACTTGAGTTAGCAAGCTGTCTTTTTTAACTAAAAGCATCCAGACAAATTCTTTGAGCCATTCAAAGGCCTTGGCTTGAGTCAGTAAAATCAGACACCTGGCCCATATTTGTAACGCTCAGGGACTAGAAGTTTAGTCTGGGAAGAAATAAGCCGGGGGTCAGAGGGGAGGGATTATCCTTGGAAAGAGGGAGCACTTTAGCCACTGTGGGTAGCTTTAGGGGTGCAGCTGCGGGGATAGAATTCCATGTGGAACTTCATGCCTTGGTGAAAGCTGGGCTACCTAGGTAAGCCCAGGGCCCACCATGCGGTCATTGACACCAAAAGGAAACAAGTTCAAGTGAAAAGAAAAAAGGAAAAAGGAAAAAAGGAAGGCCAAGAAGGCCCTGGTTTGGATACCAGATCAAATGGCCACTTTCGGCCTTCATTTCTCTTTTTAGTCTCATATCAGAGAGGACAGCTTGCCAAAAAAGGGTTGGCCTTGATGCACTTAAATACATTAGCTTAACATAACTCATTTATTGGCCTCCAAATGCTCATACTAGGTAGACATGTTTGAGCCCTGGATGAAGATGAGTCCAGAGAGGAAAGCTAGGTTTGATGAAAGAGGTTCGAGGTGAAGGAAGGGGACTTGTTTGTAATTTTGGGGGGGTTACTGTAATATATAGTGTTTCAAATTGCACAGGTGTGGCTGGTCAGTTCTCTACCACGCCCTGGAACCTGGGCACACTCACTGTCTGCAATCATCCACCAGGTTATTCGGAGCACCCGAAGCAGTTCCCGAAGAAGGACGCATTTCACTGACATGAAACTCCGGCCTTGCTTGCTTGCAAACCACTTAAAATGTTCATGTGTCACAAACTATTTAAAAGAGCAGGCTATTGCTCTAATGTAGACCAGGGAAGAAAGTTCTCAAATGTGCTAACACGATCGATCACATCCTTAAGGGTTTTTACCTGGCATTTTGAAACGCATTCTTACCTGAAGCATGAAGTGCCTGTCCTGTGCATCCTCCAGTCTTAAATCTTTGTTGTGGAGGTGAGCTTTCAATCTGGTCAAAAACTCGTTCTGCCTGTTGATGTCTGTTGCTAAGATCAAGGAGCCCAGCTGCTGTTCAATATCCTGTCTGCAGCCGCAAGGATGAAAGACAAAAACACACACAAGCAGACTCACTTGAGAGGCAGACCGATCCTCTCCTCATCGTGGGGCTTGTCCTCTCATTCGGAGAACCATGCAAGGGCCCACCCCTCAGAGTCCAAAGGCTGCATCTCACCCACCATCAATTCTACGCTTGGTCAGAGGCATGCCAAGAGCTGCTCAATGAAGCCTTTCAATCGACTCCAACTCCTGTCAACCTTCGTGCCCCGCCCCCCAAAAAACCCCAAACCTGCTGTGGCGAGTTGATTCTGCCTCCGATCCCCTGCCCCACATGGTAGAAGTTCTTCCTGGGGCTTTGGAGGCTGTAAATCTTTATGGAAGCAGATTGTCATATCTTTTTCCCATGGAGGAGCTGGTAGGTTCGAACCTTGACCTTTCTGTTAGGAGTCCAAATGCTTAATCCACTGCACTGCACTACCAGGGCTCCTCTAAGGGTCCCCCAGCATTGCTATTTTCCGCCCATAGTTCATCTGTTTTCGTGATCGCTAGTATTATATTCTGCAATGCGTTGTTATGTTAAAAAGCAGAAAACCACGCATGTAAGACAGGATTTCTCTGGTCTCAAAAAAGAGAAATAGATGTATAGTGAGACTACAGGAGGTTTCCACTTCTTTTTTTAATATATCTTATCATTGTATGGATTTAAAAAAACATACTGTTTCCAAGAATTCTTTAAGATTCATCAGTTATTACATGTGTATCAGAAAATATGATGTCTTAGGTAAAATTTTTTATGAATCAAACTGAGGTAAATGGTATTGACAACAAAAGAGTTAAAGTAACTAATATTCAGAGACTTCTTACAAATGAATAATAAATTACTCTGAATAGGAAAATATCAAACTAAAAAGCTTAAGTACAAAAGCAGCAGCAGCAACGGCCAGTGAGTACATGAAAAATATACATGTTATTTGTACTTAACAACTTAAACGAAAAGCAACCCTCCTGCCACCGAGTCCACCATGACTGTGGGAACCCTGCAGAACTAGGGTTTCTGAGGCTGCACCTCTTCCCAGAGGCAGACGGGCGCAGCTTTTCCCCCTGGAGCAGGTTGCTGGGGGGTTTGCGTTGGTGACTTTTGGGTGAACAGCCTACTGCTTAACCCACAGTGCCACCAGGGAGCCTCTGCTATCAGAAGATGCATATTAAAATTCCCCATCTCTCTTCCTTTCTATGTTTAAGAATATTTGTTAGTAAAAAATAATCATTGTGAATGAGGGGAGTGTAGAGTGTGGACCCAAAACCCATCTGTAGGCAACTGGATATCCTCTTACGGAACGGTCTCAGGGAGGAGACGAGCCAGTCAGGGTGCAGTGTACCAACGATGAAACATACAACTTTCCTCTAGTTCCTAAATG